TCACTTGCTGGTTAATGGTGTGTTCATGTTTGTTAACTTTTATGCATTTTAACTGAGGAGTTAAACTGTAAACATCTCTTTTTGGCTTTAAATATTGTTCCCCTTGAAAGTGAACAGCTGCAATAAAGTGAAGCTTTTAAAGGCGATCTTGTTGACATCAAGCAGAATGGAATCAGTTGTGTGATGGTGGAACAGGTACAGCTAAAAAAAACAGAATATTGTGCAAAACCTCACACTCACTTCCTCCTTAACCTTAAAGCATAACTAAATGATAATATTACTAATTATGATTATATTTAATATTACCTTATCTGACTTATGGTATGAAGGGTTGGGGTAATACTATAAAGACCATTATATTTATTTCAAAAAAGACAAACCAGAATAGTTCACAGATTGGATTATAGGGTGCACACAAACTCACTGTTTTTGAAAGCAAATTAACAAAAATTATAAGATCTGGTTAAATATAAAACAGCTCTTATCCTGTAAAAACAATGAGTTAATTTTGCCTTGGGCCCCCAAAATGCCCTAACCTTAACCCATTAAGCAGTTTAATAGAATTCAATAGGATACCGACTGCAAATAATATATAGTGGGGTGTGCGTCTGCGGCAGTGAGGCGAAGTCACCAGAGCACAGGTGCTTTACTGCAGCAGAACATGTCAGGCAGGAATGAAACACAGATCGTACCAGAGAATAGTCTTGATTGAATGGTCTTGATTCGGAAAAGGGTAGAATGCCTTCTCCGGGTCAGAGATGAGGTCCTGCCCCAAGTGGAGGAGTTTAAGTATCTCTGGGTCTTGTTCACGAGTGAGGGAAAACTGGAGCGTGAAATCGATAGGCGGATTGGTGCTGCATAGTGATGCGGGCGTTGTACCGGTCTGTCATGGTGAAGAGAGAGCTGAGTCAGAAGGCGAAGCTCTCAATTTATCGGTCAATCTACGTTCCCACCCTCACCTATGGTCGTGAGCTTTGGGTAGTGACCAAAAGAATGAGATTGCGGGTACAAATGGCTGAAATGAGTTTTCTGCACAGAGTGGCTGGGCTCTCCCTTAGAGATAGGGGGAGAAGCTCGGTCATCCGGGAGGGGCTCGGAGTAGACCCGCTGCTCCTCCACATTGAGAGGAGCCAGTTGAGGTGGCACGGGCATCTGGTCAGGATGCCTCCTGGACGCCCCCCTGGTGAGGTTTTCTGGGCACGTCCAACCGGGAGGAGACCCAAAGAAAGACCCAGGACACTCTGGAGGGACTATGTTTCTCGGCTGACCAGGGAATGTCTTGGGATTCCGCCAGAGGAGCTGGCCCAAGTGGCTGGGGAGAGGGAAGTCTGGGCCTCTCGCCTTAGGCTACTGCCCCTGCGACCCGACTCCGGATAAGTGGATGAAAATGGATGGATGGACGGACGGACGGATGGATGGAAGGATGGATGGATGGATGGATGGATTTACTGCTTTTTTAATCTGTTTTACGATATTTTTATTGACGCATTGTCTGCTGTTTTACTGTGATTGTATACATCACCTTGGGCTTCTGCAAAGATAGTGGAAGGTGCTATAGAAACAAATGATGGCACACTGTGCCAATGCACAAAAATCCTTCTCAAGGTGCTTTACAAAGCAAACTTCCAACTGATCCTGCTTCAGTGCATTGAATACACTTCATTATTTTTATTAATTTAAAGTTTTTAACCCTCTGGAGGTAGGCATTGCAGATTTGCAACAGTTAAAACCTACCTACCTGGTTACTCCACATACGTATTTCATGAGCATTTTTTAACTCAGAAGTACCCCTGAAGGACTTAGTTGTTTGTCCTTTTATCAAAACGTATTTTGAGCCTGAGAGGGTTAAGGAAACCATGTGCCTGATTGGTGGCTGATCAGCTAATATGCGTGAAACCTATTAAGCTTATCTTGAAGTATTTTTTCTTGTCTGAGTGTAATGAATGTTTTTGTAGAAAGTTAGAAATAGAAGTAAGTAGAAAGTGTCTCAGGTCAACTATCAGGGACCCCTTTGAGCTCCTTGAGAAAATGTGTGCATTGCATGCAACATCTAGCCTTTTGCAACAACAATACAACAATGTGGAGACATCTACAAATTAAACATCCTGATGTCTACTTCAGTGACAGAAAAACTCACCCCAGAGCTAAATCAAGTCACAAATCTGTGGATGGTATGTGCATATTTACAATCAAAAATACTTTGGAAATCCTAGAATAAACTAGGCTATAATATTTAAATACACATTTGAGTTAGAATAAAGGTTTACTATACAAGATAAATTCACATAAGCAGAATAATTATTAAATAATCCATGAAAACATTCCAGTTTGAGTCATACCAAAGACTTTAAAACTGCAACCCAATGCCTCCCTGCTTCATACTCAGCATTAAGGGGTTGGATTGGGGAATTAAACCACCAAATAGTTCCTGAACGCAGCCATTGCTTCAGCTCACTGCTTCAGCTCACTGCTCCTCACAGTGATGGGTCAAATACAGAAAGGTAATTTTATCACTGTGTGATGATGACTAATGGGAGTTTAACTTGACTTTACTGAATTCAGCATTTTGAAATTAAATTTTTGACCACCAGATGTCACTGCGGTGTTCCACAAGATCAATTCTTTATCCAAAAGAACACTGATGAAAAAATATATTTTTATAATAATGACTTAGCTAAGTCATATTTATGAGATTTATAATTTTTTTATTGAAGTGGCAGGAATGGGCTTCAGTACCGTTGCTTTCTGCTCCACGTTTGGATACGTGATCATCTTTGCCCAAATCTTTAACTTCGCTGTATTTTTAAAAATGTCATTCAATCATTGTCAGAATTAATTTGGGTCTTTAAGTCATCAATGCATTTTGTAGTTCATTGTACCAGTTTTTACTGCCTTAGTTATAGTCATCTTAAATTCTGTATTTCCTGGTTAGCCTTTTTTCTACTGAAAGTACTGAGTTGTTCATTGTACTAGTTTCACAACTTTAGTTTTTGTCTGCCTCAATATTCCAAGTTTTAGTAATTCCTCCTTGCAACCTTAATTTTTTGTAGTTTGTTGTAACTCCATGTGTGCCCTCTTACCTACTTAAAAAATTTAAATTCTGTTAGTTTTCAACAATGTGTTTCTGTAGTATTGCCAGCTTTTACTGCATTAGCTTTAGGCTCCTTTCACCTTAAGCTTAATAAATGTTTTCACTGACTTAGTCATTTTTGGCTGGCCACATTTAGTTATCTTCTCAATGTTTTATTGATATTATGTTAGTTTTCTAGTGTTAATCTTCAGTGATTTATGTTCATGTTTGTGTTTGTTTTGTCTGTTCTTACTGCTGTAAAGCACATTGAGTTGCCTTTGTGTAGGAAATGTGCTATATAAATAAAGCTCTCTTGTCTTGTCTAAAGCAACTTATTAAAAACTAGAAATCCTGTCAAACATTAGGAAAGAAATTGGTGATAAAAGGCAGCCTTAGAGTCCAATTTTCACCAACGGTGAGCCTCACTTACTGGTGGTAATGCAGACTTAGCTCCGAGACCGATCCTACATCATTTAGGCTTTTATTTTTGTGTTATTTTGAAATCCCACATCAGATTGGGTTTACATTGTTGAAGGTTAAGTAGATTAATTATAATATAAATCTAATGTGGATGTGTGAAAAACTTTGAAGTTTGCAGAACTAAAGCCTAATATCACCATCACTGAACTGATTTTTGCTTTTTGTTTGTTTTTGTTTTGAAACCCTGAATCAGATCAGGTTGGTGATGGTAATGTGGGTGAGGTGTAGTATGAATGAATGTGAGTCAATGTGTAAATAGCCTTCTGAGCACTGAGCGCCTCGTGATTTTTATCTTGAGAGGTGCTATAGAAATGATATTTTCTTCTTCTTCTTCTTCTTCACTGGTGCCACCAGTCCCTCTGACGGGTTAAGTGTCTTGCCCAAGGACACAACAGCAGCATTCTCTGTTCCGAGCCAGGATCAAACCTGAACCTTCCAGATACTGGACAACCCACTCTACCTCCAGAGCTACTGCTGTCCCCAAAATGTAAACAACATGGACTTATTTTTTGTTTTTGTTGCCTGCTCATCATCACCCCAGCAGAAAGGGGCAAACTCTGGGAACCGGTGATGGGTGTACCCTTTGTGCAGCAGTACCGGGACCAGAGTGAATAGGGTGTGTATGGGGAGCGTGAGTGGGTGTCTAGAGTTCATTTTGTAAGTCTTGGGTTGTATGTGTGAGCATGAGGGAGGGAGTGTGTGACTGTGTATGTCAGGTGGGGCCTTTGACTCCTCCCCTCTCCTGGGACTTCTTGTGCTACTATACATCTTCGCCTACCCTCCCCCTGCCACATTTGTTGAGGATTGTGGTGCCTTGGTCTGTCTGAGTGTTCGTGGCTCCCGGGTCAGGGGGTTTAAGATTTTTGGAGTCTGCCTGATCGATCCCAGTGGCTGCCTGGTGGGATCTGAGTCCCTGGCCTCTGTTGGGTCCCCGGTGGGGCTGGTCGTCCCTGGGTCCCGGGTCGCTGGGTTCCAGGCTCGGTCGGCATGAGGGTGGGAGGCTGCAGGCGGGCCTATGGTCTTGCCCGATACCTCTCGGGACTCTGCCAACTGCTGGCTGTGACCCCCCGGGACAATCCTCTGTGTCTCGGGGTGGGGGGGGGGTGGGGGGGTGGGGGTGGGGGGGGGGGGGGGAGAGGCTAAAATAAGCATTGCTTCTGCCTATTCCTGTTTTGGTTTAAATTCAAGTTGTTAATATTGTTGTTTTGTTTGAAAAGAAAAATTTTATGTTAATGCTATAAACCAAAATAAAGAAGAAAAAGAAATACAATTTAATTCTGATCAACATCAGCAATCAAATATAATGATTTTTATTTCTGACATGTTTTTAACGAGATAATCTGAATGATTAATGAACTCTCCAGCTGAGTGTTGTTTACTCATTAGGCTCTGATTGGTCAGGGCTGGTCTCTGGCAGCATATATAAACCCTTCCCATGCTCTCTTTCTACACAGCTAACTTTCAGTATGGTGACTGTTCAGGCCTTCCTGGGGTATGGTACAGTGATGCTTGTCTTAATGAATCTGTTCAAAAATACTTGCTCATGATTTTATCATCCTTTCCTTCAGGTTTTCCCTCTGTGCTTTGCTGATTCTGCATACACATGGTTTTCCATCTAAAGGTAATGAACTGTTTACTCTTGCCAAACAACTTTTGGGTAACTCTGGTTACTAACTTGGTTTTACTTTAGGCTCCAAATCCCATGGCCAGAGCAGTAGTCACCAAGGAGATGACTTTGGTCCTCAACAGGGATCAGCCGCTGGTCGCTATGCACCCTTGTACAGTACTTCTACTCAAGAGGGATTCCCTCCTGGTGCTTTTGTATCTTTTCAAGCAGCATACCCAGCTGGAACTCTTCCAGCAGGATATGAAGCTGGAGGTCCTGGGTCCAGTCTACCAGGTATGAAGTATAGATTGCCAAATGCTGTTGAACAAATGGTATAATTGATCTATTGTCTCCAGAAACCAAGTGGACCGTTGCTCCTAATATCTTCTCTGAGGAAGGCTTGGCCAACACCAAGACTCCTGCTGACTCCAGCATGCTGCTCCCACAAAACCCTGCACCATCAGGACCAGTCCTCCAGTCTGGGGAGACTTCAAATGTTATGAAGGAAGCTGAACTTGGGAACTACCAGCATGAAACAGAAAAATTTGGCTACCCAGCTGCCAGCATGGGGCCTGGACAAGGACTTCCTGGTTACCCTATGCCTTATGGTGGAGTCTTCTGGGGTAGCCCTTATCTCTACCCAGCCTCTCCATACTTTGACTACAGGCTCCTGTATGGCTTGTACCCTACTGGCACCTACACCACCTTCAGCAAGAACCATGAGAAGGGCAATGACTACTACCAGAGCATCCACTACCTGAAGGAGCATGTTCCTGACACTTCATCCACTCCTGATTATGGGCAGCAAGAGAAAATCTTCCCAAAGCCACCAAAGAAAGCAAGAAGTTGAGTCAAGTATTCTCTGAAAACTCTGTGCCAACCTAGTACAAATATCTGTCCTTGAAATTAAACCATATTTTAAGTGAGCAAGTGTCTGAATTTTTAACAATACTTTAGACATGAGAAACTGGGGGGCAGAGCATGTTTAGCAAAATGCTTCAAAAATGGTGTATATGTAGGAATGAATCATGACTCGTGATGTAGGGGAGACTAAAACTTAAAAATACTGACGCTAGTTATGGACTAAAAATTACATGAGATACTCAAAGGATATACCAAGTGGAAACTCATTGCATTCTACTGAATGCCATTTTAAATTGACCCTCGAAGAAAATAATTTCATGTCAGCTCTAGAAACCCATAGCTATAAATTCCATATTACTGGAAGAGCTTTTTCCAATATACTAAATCCCTAATTGTGTTAAACTCACATTAGTGATTCGTCCCCCGTACACAATAAATTACAAAGTTTATTCGAGATCTGAGGTTTCTCTTCTGTCTTAAATTTTTCTGCAACTATGGCAGAACTGAAGTGCAAGTACAGGGTTGCTGGTTTGAACCCTACCTGCAGACATGTCCTTTGGTCAAGATACTTAACATGCCTGGTGATTGAAGGGACTGGAATCGGTGTTTAGCCTAGTCTGTCTCGGTGCAGCAGTGGGTTTCACCAGCATGTGTGTGAAAGTGCTTTGCGGAACTGCAGGACCTTACAGAAGGTATATCTAAAGGTCATTTTTTAGCAGTATTTTCCTGTCAGGTTTCTGCTAGTATTCTTCCAGCTTTATCATATACTTGTGTTTAGTTCCTGTCGCTATTTTCTTACCTTCCCTGTTGATCCTATCAGGTCTTGGTTTACCTTATTAGCCTTGTGTTTTTACTCCCAGCATTTCATTTTATCTTCTGTTCCTTCTGCTTTCTGGATTTAAGTTATTCTGTTTCTGTGGCTTCTGTTATTCACCCCAGTGTTGTATTTCCTAGCCTTCCAGTTTTTAGTTTTACCGTATTTTGCTGCCCTTGGCTCCCCATGTTATTCTGTTGTGTCGGATTAGTTGATCCTTATTTTCTGGTCTTCAGTTAATGTTTATCAGGTTCTGTTTACCCTCGTTTAGGGTGACCATATTTTCATTTCCAAAAAGCAGGACAGGGGATCTGTGCCTATGACGTCACACAAACCATGTTGGGACCTTTTTTTTTCCCAGGTGTAAGAGCTAAAATTAATATCAGATTCTGCCAATTAAAGGACTAAAACAATTCATATGTAAATATTTTGCATATTTATTTGATTGTTTATTAATGTGCATTGTCCTGAATAAAGAACTGAATTGAATATTTAGCATATTTATTGCAAAATCTCATTTTTCTGCTGCTTTAGTGCTGCAACGACATTATATTAATTAGATATATATTTTGTTTAACTACAGCATCGGTAAAACTTCCTGTGCACAGATTATAAAGGATGCTTGTTTCAGATGCGAGACATTAGACGATAGGATCAATGAAAAAAAGTTGTCACAGACTCCATTTTACCTGTATAAAACAATAAGTTATACACATGTAATATTTATACATTTATTACAATTCAGATCACCTTCAAAACTCAGTCACACACGCAGGGCTGTTTCAAGGCATTTTGGGGGCCAAGGCAAACCAGAACACCCCCCACCCCTATAACTGGCTCCCCAGAAGCTTTTGTGTAATTCCTACCCTGTATTAGTTATACAGTGACATGTTCTAATGTTATCAGATGAAAAACAAAATTATCAGACTTGCTGTCTCATCTCTAAACTTGCAAAAGGTAACAAAACCATTTGAAAGCCACTAAATCTGCCTACATTTTACTTTTCAACACTTTGAGGATGTACCGTGCGCTGGACGCAGCTGCCTGGAGCGCGCCAACGATCAGAGCTCTGCCGCTCTCTGTGCTCTCCGCTCAAAAGAACCCTGAGAGTCTACATAAATGATGCAATATAGGTAGAAACCTTTTTCCGTCTCTCCCCGGATGTGCAGGATATCCAGCTCCCCCATATTTTGATCCCTGCTCTTGGATGAAAAACCAGACTTTTTCATCAATACAAGAAGCCCCCCTCCCACCCCCACCCCCCAGGCCAGAGGAAATGGAAATGTCTGGGGACAACAGGACATATGGTCACCCTACCCTTGTTTAGCCAACCTGCCTGTTTTGTCCTCCCTCCTCAGTATTAGTTACACCTGTTCCCTTGTTTCACTTCAGAACCATTTAAACGCTGTTCGGTTCACTGTTGGTTTAATGTGATTTTGTTCCTGTGATTTCCTTACCTCTCTTGGATTCTGTAACTTTACCTGCCTGTTCCAGCCATGAGTTTTAACAAACAAGTTTTTCCTCTTTCTGCTTCCTGGAATCCCACATTTGGGTCCTACCTCCATTAAAACATGACATGCATTTGTATTGTCGCAGCTTGACTACTTTAATGCTGTGTATGCTGGTGTGAGCTCAGGTGCTATTGCCTGCCTTCAACTTGTTGAGAATTCTGTGGCGAGATTCTCATCTGGAGGGAAGAGGGAGCATATCACACTTGTATTGGCCCAACTTCACTGGCTCCTGGTTGAGTGTGGGGTTGGGTTTGTAGGGTTTGGTAAATTGAGTGCTTTAAGAGCTCAGTATATACATTACTTCTACTTACGACCAACAAGCTGTGACACTCTAAATATAGAATATCAACCCTGCTTGGACTTTACTGTGTTTATCAGAAGATTCTAGTGTTCTTTGTTTATTAAGGGATTGTACACACTTTGTTTTTATTCAGAAAACAGTCAGGTTTATAAAAGTAAGAATTTATTTTACCAACAATTAAAACATGACAAGTTAACTAAGCATTTACACTTCAGAGAGCTGAGTTCTGGATGTAAAAGAATGTGGTTTGTGTTAAGCTATGAAGTTGATTAATATCAAAAGCACATCAGACGCTATCTGTGTGTCTACTTCACCCGTTTTGGAGACCCTCTTGGTGGATCCGAAGGTCAGAGAGGTCAGATGGCCTCTGGCACCGAAGGGCTGTAGGATACAGTGGCACCGACTCTTCAGTCCAGAGATGTCTCGGGTCACGACAGATGGATGGAACCGCGCGTCTGGGACTCTTGGGGAGTCTAAACAATATCAGCTTGTTCTGCAGGAACTGTTTGCTGTATCAGCTTTGCAGGTGCAAAAAGGTTTTGACGACGTGTCAAAAGCTTTGATGGTTAAAGAGGGTTTTGCTTCAGATGGCCGATCTGAAGCTTTCTCTAGAACTAAACAGCTGAGCTGAACTGAACTAATGAATCACCAGAGTGATCTGGTTTTAATGTTCTCATGTTATGATTTGTGTAGCCAACCAGAGGTTGACAAGTTTGAGGAATATGTCCAAGAATCTCAGAAACACACGCCTTCTTTGATACCGGATGCTCTGATCTGGGTAAAGGACTATTTACGTGTCATGAGCTTAACTTAACCTTACTTTGTCCTTGTGTGAGTGCAAATGGTTATGACCTCGTCACATAAACATGCCGAAACATATATCACTGTAATCATAACATAACATTCATTTCAAACTTCAATCATTGAGCACAGATTAATGAAACATTTCATTATATTATAAATATTATAAGTAGCAATAAACAAACGTTTATTTAATGATTATCTAGCTTATAAGTTGTAGAAGTTCATATCTGATTTAGGAAATCATTCTTTGATTTAGCAACTAATCCGGCATGAAGAATCCTGTAGGGCGATAAGGATGGACCTTGAGAAGAGAACATTATTGTTGACAATTAGTTATCTGTGTTCAGAGCTGCAGGCTCTGAGCTCCAGCTGATGGGATGAAGGCAGGCTGATTTAAAGGGAACACATGCAGTCTTGTGTCTCCTTTTTGACCTGATGTTGAACGGTCAAACTGTACCTAAAAATTGACCATTGCTGGACGTTACATAACCCCCCTGTGCAAGGGCACGGGGTCCTGGCGGAAACCACGGGTCGTTGAACAATCCCAGAGGCTCTTAGGACTCAGTCGAGGAAACAAAGGTTAGTTCCCAGGAAAAGGCCTCAGGAGTGAGAAAAGCAAACCCCCACACCAGAGAATATTCAATGTAACTCCCGAACTTGAAAGGGTAATTCCACTTAACACAACCCTCAGGAAGGAAGCAGATGAGCAGGGACCAGACCAGGCTCCAGGCGAACCATAGAACTCCAGCAACCACGGCAGGAACCACAGGACGTCCAGACCCACACGAACCGGACCCTCAGGCAGCAGGCTGCCGAATCAGGCGATGGTGTAGAGAGGTCCTCCCAGGAAGCGACGACCACAGGCGAAACCCAGGAGAGGAGAAGAGCACACATGCAGGGCACTTGAATGTAGACACACATAGATTGCATCTGATGTAAAATAAAAAATAAAAAAAGAGTAAAAACTGGAGAGAGATTTCAAGTTGACAGGAGGCTTATTCCAAAGTCCTGCACCTTTCACTGACTTGTCAAAAGTGATTAGTCTGTGACCATGCTGTAGCTGAGTAGCACAAAACTTTAGGCTTTTATTTTCCTGTTTGTTTTTATTAAAAAGAAAATGGAGGTGGTGTAGTATTTATCTGTTTAATCTAGTGGTTTTCTTAAACTGGGTATTTTAGGCCCTAGGCCCGGAGTGGCTAATCGGGAGGGTCTGGAGAATTCCCGGTGGGCCGCGCGATGTTTGGGCCGCATGGGCCGGTGCTCTCGTTTTTGTTTTTCATAATTTTATTTTTATTTTTTGGTGCCGGTGTTCAATCATGGCAATGAGGCCGCCGGGCTGATCTCATACGCTCCTCCCGGTTGTCTCTGGCTGGCTCTACCTGCAGGCTGCCGCTCGTTATTTTTTTTCCCTGTATGCGCATGTGCGCACCACGTGACACGCAGTTTATGGAAAGATGGAAAGTAGAAAGAGAAGGTAGAAGGCAAGAATTAAAAAGAGGAAAGCGCTGGAAACAGATGCAGCTAAATGTGCAAAAATGAGCACCCTTTTTTCTCAAACAAGCTCGCAGTCTTTAACTTCAAATGAAGATAAAACGGGTAAGGCAAGTCAAGATCAGAATCAGAATCAGAAAA